TTTTCTCCGGGTACTCCGGTTTTCCCCTCTCCTCAAAAACCATCATCATTTGAATTTATTTTATTTAGAGTTTATTTAGATTTACACACGACCCCACAAGCTGTTCAGCCATGTTCCCACCAATAACGTAGCTCCAATTTCTGCCTTTAAAAGTACACACAACCCACAATTCCTCTATTCGCTCCGAAGAAGGGCTAACGCTCGAAACGTCAGCTTTTGTAATCGTTACGGTGTCCAATTTTCCATTTCAACTTTGTTGATATATCCAAATTATTTTTTTCAGCTTTAAACATTATCGTGTCTAAATAAAGGTGTTATTATTATTTATTATTATTTTATTATCATGAAAAGAACTGAAAACATAATATCCCAGTGGCTACAAGCCAGAAATTCCAGAAGGAAAAAACTCAACTGTATATCGAGTGAAAATGTCGAACTACTTAAGATACTACGAAAAACAAAATAAGTAGTAACACTCACTCATAGTATCACTTACCCACACTTACTCATTTCGACAACACATGTGGCTTCGCCATCAGTGGGAGGCAGTAGCCACCATAGAAAAATTTTCTTGTTTTCGAAATGGTAGTTTGCTTGTACAGAAATCACAAGAACTGATTCTCAATGTAAATTTTAGTCCACCCGAGCTGCAAACTTTAATTCATACTTTTTGGCAGAAAAATGGAAAACGTAATCAGGAATTCGAAAATAGAACTTTTTCAATAACTTGTCAGACTTCAAAATATTAACCAGAAATTTACCGGTGGCCTTCTCGTCTTACAGCTATTTGAGTTACTTACATGTCCTAAGATTTTCCCCTTTCTGTCGGCTGTTTTGTTTTCTCCTTGGGTCGCCATAATTTCTTGTCTTTACTTATATCGATAAAATATCAGTGTTTGTGCTGTATTTACCACCTGACTTGTTGCCCGTATACCTCACTTCCGGTAGAATGCTCAGAATTTATCCGGAAGTAGCCTCTCTCCTACTGCAATCCAGTTCCCTTGAAAACACGAGAGAGGAATTATCGTAGAAGTTTCAGAAAAGGTATGTTAAATTGAGAGTTTTTTCTCTTTTGAGTTAGTTATGGGAGTTTTGCAGTGGTTGTCGAAACTATAATTTGGAGTCTCATCGTGTTCGATTACTGATTTCACTTTGGCGAGGTTCTCTCAAGAAGGGAAAATTTTCAGATCATTCCTAAAAAAGTGAAATTGTCACCAATCACTATATAGGCTGGCTCTGCAAGCGCAGCATAAATGGTGGGAAGTTAATAATCCTCGTGCAACACTCACCTGGCTTCTCTGCTCTTTTGTAGATTGGTGTAGTGTTGAATGAGGTGATGACAAGACACAACAGCAGTGTCTATAGTGGCAGGCCTGAGGAAAGCTTTAAGATAGGAAAGTTGATTAATTTGAACTTTGATGAGGTAAGATGATCTGTTTGTTTTCTGCTTCATACACTGGGCTGATGTCCAAATTACACTCCTCAGAAGCCTTTGGTTCCTTATAATGAGCAAGTAATGTTGGTCTCCTGTCTATATGAAAACTTACTGTTTACATGTATTCCTCTTACATGGGGAGAATTCAACCAGTAACTGCATGATCTAACTGCATGCAAGTAGGATGGTAAATGCTTTGTATATTCATTATTTCTGATTGCATTGCAGGCATGGGTAATGCACTTTGATCCCGCTATGAGAGAAAAAGGCTATTATGAGCCACTTAACACAAATTGATTGTTTCGTATTTTCCATCAAATAGAGAAACTTTCTAATAATTTCAGCAACAACTGTAAAATTAGCTTTAAACACATCAGTCAAAACAAAGAAAACTAATGTGATTTGTGAATTCAGTTGTCATATCATGGCACAATACTTTGCCAAGCAATAAATTCCTTCTTGATCGAGCTCGTTTGATAGTATGAATCTACATTCAACTTTTTATCACTGCCCTCTTTATGGACCTTAACTTTAATGTCTTCGAGCTGAAATTAATGGTATGCAAACTAAGAACTTAGCCAATGCAATGCTCAGCTATTATATTAACCTTGCACTAAGTAAAAAAATACCCTTTTAATAACTTGTCTCAAAAAAAATATTTTGTTTAATTTATCTCCCTTATCAAGAAAAATGGCTTTTCATGAATCTGATGCAGGTCTTTGGAGTATTTTTTATCAAGCATTTGGAATTCATCACTATGAGACAACAGAAAACTAAAAAAAAGGTGGTGTGAAGATTGAATTTCATTTTCTATATCGGTCACTCTAGCAAACTGCGTGGAATGTTTAACTTCTACATACATGTGCTTGTTGAAAATTGTGATGCCCCCAAATTACATTTTGGTTTTAAATGGCTCCATGGGGACAGGGGGGTTCTGAAAAATGCAACAAAACAAAAAAAAAGTAGAATAAACACTGCATCACTGCAAGAAATATCATCTACACACCTACACCACGATTAATTCTCAAGCTGGTGGATTGTGAGTGTGGTAGGGGTCCAGAGGTCAAGAAAAATGTAAACAAACACAGCCTGGAATCAAGCACCAACTCTTTATTAAAGGTTAACTTGCATTTATTTTATTTTATTTAGCTTCGCCAACCGACAGGGGCACTGCAACAGCTTGCACCAGTTACTGCGGGCCCAATAAACCCACCCATCCCACCCCACCCCAGGGGAGGACATCCATCCCACAGTAATCTCCTGTGTGGGAAATTAACGTCTACTACCCCAACCCTGCAGGAGACAAGAACTTCATTTATTCATCCCTATCCGAGAAGACTAGAATATCTAACAATTTCTTGATGCTTATTTTCTTGCTTATTTTGTTTGAAGGTTATCAAAATCTAGTTTTTTAAAGGCTTAAAGAATAAACTACAACACCAGTAGTGGTTTGTTTAACTGAAAATCACTGATTTGAAATTAAAAACATCATACACTGTCAGGTTTGAGATTACTACAACACTGCAATGCCATGTGAAGAAAAAGGGTCGATTTTAATACTGCAAACCCTAATGTCCTCCTCTAGGCTGACCTGGCTGTTTCAAGGCATTTGTCTGAAGAAAAACAATAAAAACAAATAAGTGTGTCATTATTACAAACTTAATGTGCTCAGTATTTCATTTCCTTAACCAGCACCGATGCAATTCTATAACTGCACCTATATACAATCAATTGCAAACTTTCCTGATATATGGAAGTCAGTCACCTGTCTAAATTACTCCTGGTCTGAAGAACATTTTGATTCTTGCTCACAAGGAGCAAGCTTATTCTTGACATAAGTTGCCAATCCTGCACCAAAAGAACCAACAGCAGCAGATGTTGTGACTCCTAGGCCTGCAGCACCTGCACTTTGAAGGGTTGCAAATACGCTTCCTGCAGTCACAGTTCCCCCATATACTGCTGACTGAATGCCAGCGGCCACTGATCCAGCAGCAACACCTGCAGTGGTGAATCCTGCGGCTGGAAGGAGAAAAGGGGCTGCTATCATTGCTGCTACACCTCCTATCACGCCTGCAGTGACATACTCTCCCCAGCACCATCCACCTTTGTCTGAATCTGATTAAAAAAATATCGTGTTAATGTTGAACGAAAAGGCAGACTGGGTTGTGGGAAATGGGGTGCAAGATTTTGTGCCCAGTTTAAGATAGTCTAAATCTTTTGTGGTATAAATTGGGGAGTTCTCCAATTTCTGATTAAATTTGAGGCTTAGTGGTCTGAAGGGGGAAGATCTGAGATTTAAAAAGAATCATGCTTCAATAAAGGAGCAAAAGAAATAAAAAAAAATAACGTACCACTTCTATGGATTAAAGTACATAGTATTAATATTCTTTGCATACCAAGTTGGATCAGAGCAAAGCTACAGCTTTAATAAATTGCCCAACAATCACTTGGATTTCAGATGTTACACACTCAGGGGTTTTAATAAAATTTCAAGTAGGCAGCTGGTTAGTGAGAGTAACCGACCGTAGGGGCTGTCGGGCCCCTTAATCTAGGGGGGTCTGGAGGCATGCCCCCCCAGAAAATTTTGACAGCTGGAAGCTCTGAAACACCATTTCTGGAGTTCTGGAGACAAAATTGAGTGCAGAAGATAAAGGAAAACTCCCCATCAACAGCAACAATTTTTTTTTATTTTTATAATACTAATAAGCTAAAAATGGAAGTTTGCAAGCACTTCCTGGAAGTTTTAGGGTCATTGCCACTAAAAAACAATGGAGCTAAACAGAATCACTTACTACCGGTAAGAAAGCATCCAGTAGCGTTTTTAATCTTTCACCCATGTTTCTTTGTTTTTTCCCGTGAACCCATAAACAGTTTGCGGGTGAAAAACATTCCAAGCTTCTCTGCCTACCCACCAAGTCAACCGCCAGAAACTGTGATAAATATATCTTATTAGATGTTTTGTTGTGTACAAGTATCACCGAGTATTTTTATGAGTTGTGCCGTAGTTTGATGACCCTGTAGGGTAAGTTAAAATACAAATAACGAGTGAAAGTACTCAGCGATAGTACACAACAAAACGTCTAATAAGTTATTTATTATCCAACACACCAAACTGTTATTTCAGTGTGGGCAAATTTCGCAGATATTTATTTACGGGGAGTGTGTGACAGAAGTATGCAAAGCGGAATGGAATTGGTGCGTTGTCATGTTGCTGTTTCTATTTTCTTCAATAAATGAAGAAATTTCCAGGTCGTCTAGCTGTTTTTCTTCGTTCGATTCATCTAATAAACTGGGATGTATATTTGCCAGCCATTCTGACTCTTTGTCATCGGAAATATGATTCAAATTGTCTGCCATTTGTTGTTCGTAACTCTTCACTAGCGCGATGCGAGAAAACTTGTTTAACAAATATCGCGTGATATTTGTACTCGTCTATGGTGTTATTTGTACCCTACAAAGTGCAGTTGGATAATAAGTATAGGTAATCGCATGGGGCCAAGTAAAATTAAGGATTAATATCACGTGTGTTTTCGGAAGTTGCTGAGATTGCCCAAGTCGCGCAGCGACAAGAGCAATTTCTGCAACTTCCGAAAACACAAGTGATATTAGTCCTTAATTTTGCAAGGAACCATGTGATTAGTTGTTTATAATATAAGGGGCGAAATGTTTTCTTACTGATGTCGCACAAAATGGGACGCCACTGTTACAAAACAAACAAAAATTTCTTTACTTTGGCAGCCGTTGCTAAGCAATTTTCAGCCAATCATTTTCAAGTAATTTTGCCCGGGGCAATTACAAAAATTAATAAAAAAAAAAATGCCCTCTGTCTTGACCAATCACAATTCAGTAATTTTGCCCCTTATATTATAAGATCAATTAGTTGCAGCTTTTAACTCAGACTTCAAATGCGAGTGGAAAAAAATAAAACATTTAAATGAGTGTCCGATTTGTTTTTGTTCTGTTCTTTTTGTAATACCATGACTCATATTTTTATTTATTTATTTTTATTTATTTTATTTCATTAGCTTTGCCCTGAAGAATACCGAAGAAAAAACTGAAGATATACAAGCCTTGTAATAAGAACGTAACAATACACTAATAATAACTTTAAAATTTAGGCAGGGACACCGAAACAGCTGAAGCCAATTACTGCGGACCCAGAAAATAAAAGTATTTAAAGGTATATAAATAGTATATAAAGCATATATAATAAATATTTATAAACATATAAAGTATATAAAAGTAGCAATCTAAATCACATGCACACGTGGTTGTCATTCAAGAAAATGGAGCATTCATCCAAGGTTCGAATTATCAGGCCACAATGAACTCCTGAACACGATAAACAAATGACGGTAATTAGATTCCATACTTTGCACGCAGTTTAATTTTTCGTAAACCTCTTGCGTCCTAACACCACCCCAAAACGAGTCGAGTGCCGTGACCAACGAGTCGCGTCCAATCTTTTGGTAATTATTTAATTTTGAAATTGAGGTAAAAAGTTCATACAAGCCCATCAAAATTAATTTCAATTTAGTTCTCATAGAATCTTGCTTTAATTATTTAAATTTAGGGAAAATGTAGCCGACTTCTCTGAGTGAAGTTAAGCTTTTCGTCGGCCGTCGGTGCTTATTGAAAGCACTGCACACTCAAAATTAAAAAAAACCTTTGAACTGCTACAATTGAAATGACATTTCTTCTTTATTATTGCTTTGAGATCTTTGCTACTGAGACTTTTGTTTCGTCGGTGTTGCAATCTACCCAGTCTCGATGAAGAGACAGACGACATTAGTTCACGATCCTGCCATCTCATTAAAGGGGTCTTTGATTGGCTAAAAACTAATAATTAACATCACAGCAGCAACCACTACTACAGCACTACAATGGAATCGTCATGTGTTGCTAAACGAAAGAAAACTTAATTATCAGTATAGTGTGATTTTTCGGTCAAGATGTAATCATTTTAATATAAATAATAAGTACAATAATAAGATTTTTCGCCACAATAACAAACCCGAACGTCAAAGGTATTGGAAAGTTCCGGAGGACCTGAAAAACTCCCTACTTCAAGGAATGATGATATTAAGGATACCATCGAAGATACAGATGCACACTTCAATTCCGAATACACTTTTATGGCTAACTGAGTGTTTGCTTCTCACCAGCGAAGAACATGTGTTTTCCAGATTTGCGCTCTTTATACTCTCGACAATCGGGCCGCCTTTCGTTCACCCTAATTTACCCCATGAAAAAAAAATTGCGTCGGCGAATGGCTTTCATAAATTCTGAAACCATTTCCACTCGATAAATAAGCTTTAACCGCTGTTCAAACCTGTGCTTTTCGAAGCAGAGGGCACAGTTAAGGTCTCGTCACTTACTGGCATTGATCTTACCTCGTTATGACGAAGGAGACTGGGTACAACATTTTCGTTTTCTGGGAATTTGCAGAGGTAGCACAAACAAAAACATTACTTCCTGTCTAAATATTTCTGTTGAACCAACTATATTTGAAATAAATTTCTTTACTTTGTAAAAGCCAGTGAGAAGGACGTAAGTCATTCACAACTGTTGAATGAAATAAAAATAATGGTTCTGATAACTCCAGTAGTCAAGCCCTTCAAGAATCATTATAAAATTCGGAAATGTCTAGAGTTAGCTGCCTTTCGATCACAATTACCGGCGAAATGTAATGTTTTCTTACAGATTTACCGGTAAAAACTCTCTGAGAAGCAGGAGCGTCGTTTAACGAAATACTGAAATCGAGTTAAAGTGAGTTTAAGACACGACACTGGTATTGGACTGTGCAATGAAAACACTGATTTCCCCCGTTTGAGGCTTTTGTCGATGTTTGCAACTAACGAATTCAAGAAGAGCAGTGTGAAAGTCGAAAGCTAAAATCTTGCTTTAACCATGTATTTTAAGCAGTTAGGTACGGCATTTGTGTTGATAAGAATTCTAAGCTTCGGAAGTAGTTCTCGCTGAATATCATGAAGACCTATTCCATTCCAGCGGTGGCTAAAAAACCGAAAGATAAGCAGATTTCAGTTTGTTGGACTTACCTTCCGCCTTAACTGGCGACAAGCATGTCAGGAAAAGCAAAATACAAAAATTCGCCCGATTAATCATCTGTAGCGGTCTATAAGTTCTTAAATCTTTGAAAAGAATAACTGCTCCTGCCTGACGCCGAAAACCGAAAGCACTGAAGTATGCAGAAATATAGATTGGTGACGTGGCACGCTTGGATTTCGTGATAAATTTTTCGTGACTGCGTTGATTGGTTGGATTAAATAGTTATAAATAGAGTATGCAGGTGACCCACGAGGATAAAACAATACGCCATGCACATTTCCCATATTTCCGGAAACGTTATTTGAAGGATCGTTGGGGCTGAGACAATTAACCTGTTCACAATCGTAAATTCTGACACAATTTCCACCCGATAAACTAGCTTTCAACGCTGTTTAAACTTGAGCTTTTCGAAACAGAGAGCGCACTTGAGGTTTTTTTTCTTTAGCTGGCATCGATCTTAGCTCATCAGGGTGAAGTAGGCTGGGTGCAACATATGTCGATTTCTCGGAAATTGCAGAGGTTGCACAAACAAAAATATTACTTCCTGTCTAACCATGTCTATTGACCCAGTTATGTTTGAAATAACTTTCTTTACTTTGTAAAAGCCAATTAGAAGGGCATGACATTTTCAACTTTAAATTGAAATAAAAATCATGGTTCTGATAACGCCAGTAGTCAAACCCTTCAAGAATCATCATCAAATTCGGAAATGTCCATAGTTAAGGCAAGTGCCCATTCGATCACAATTATCGGCGACATGTAATGATTTCTTGCAGATTTACCTGTAACAACTCTCTGAGAAACAGGAGCGTCGGTTCACGACGAAATACTGCAGTCGAATTAAAGTGACTTAGGTTCGGTTCAAACGTCGAACTTAATTTGTGCCGAATCTTATAATTAGATTCGGCACATGTAAAGTTCGACTTTTGAATCAATTAGGTACGACAGTTTTGTATTTGGGTCGACCTGCCGTTCTATTTGACTGGGCTTATCGAATAGAACAGCAAAAGATCGACTTGGTTTCAAACGTCAAACTTTTTCATGTGCCGAATCTAATGCATACGTTACAAATATACTAAATAAATTAATTTTTAACCAGAGTTTTGCACCTTTCCTATTTTTGTCTCTTAACGTCCATGGTGACACGATTTGTTTTGATCATTTCGAACAAAATGGCGGGAATATGTTCCTTTTGCTTCGAGAGTACTAAATATACTTGTCTGTAGTGCATGAACCACTTCTTTATGTATTTTGGCTGCTTGCCCCAAACTGTGGAACGAACTACCTTTATCAATGAGATCATCAAACACTTTGGCTGTTTTCAAAAAGGACTTGATTTTTTTAAATTATATAGTAGATATTGAAAAGCGCTATGAAGTAGTCGACTTACCGCCACCTAACATCTCAAGGTTTCTTCTTCTCAAATGTCATCAATTATTCATTGTCATCTGTTAATTCTATTTGGTCAGTGGCCCAGTTTCATCTACAGAAGGACGTTTACAACTTAACCATTCGCTACATCAACAACTCTCTTCCTACACGTAAGAATTAATTTGGTAAGATGGGAATTACCACAAAGTCCTGATTGTTCCTTTAGCCTTAATCCTGAGTCACTCCTTCATGTTGTCGCTGGTTGTCAACAATGCCTTGCTCGCTTTACCTGGAGACACGACTCAATCCTTAACTTCATTGCCAAGTCCCTTCAACCTGTAATTAATGTTAGCTCCTCACTCTATGCAGATGTTACTGGTTTTCTAAATCCCTCAATAATAAGTGGTGAAAATTAGTCCAGATCTTCTTTTCCTAATCCAGTCCAAGTGCCTATATGTTCTAAAATTAAAAGTTGGTTTCAAATCTAACCTGTACAACAATGCAGTACGTAAAAAAGAAAAATAACGCAACTTGACACAGGCAGCCTAAGCTCACTACTTGAAAAAGCGGACGTGACTCTTACTGTGTTGCGCAACGTTTTATATTTATAAAGGTTTGTATGGGATGTTATCGGTTTGCCTTAAAAGAGAGAAAAATATGTCTTGTTTTGAAATAAAATGGGCTTACCTTATTGCTTTGTTGAGTTTTCTTTGTTGAGTCTTTCATTTAGCAGTTGAACACCAACATAGCGCTAACTCGCCGAAAACGCTTCAAAATGGCCTGAGACGCTCGGAATCAACAAAGAAAACAACAAAGCAATAAGGTAAGCCCATTTTATTTCAAAACAAGACATTTTTTCTCTCTTTTAAGGCAAACCGATAACATCCCATACAAACCTTTATAAATATAAAACGTTGCGCAACACGTTAAGAGTCACGTCCGCTTTTCAAGTAGTGAGCTTGGGCTGCCTGTGAACTTGATTAACGAAATGAGTAGATCTTTTAGATGTGTGAAATTTGTAAATCTCTCCATGAGCTCCCTTGGCGTTTTCTCAGATGAATGCTCTACGTTCTTAGACCTGATGAATGACATAGGCATTGACAAAAAGCAGCAACCTTACATAATCAAGAAAATGATAAATATAGCTATTAGAGCATCATCTTATGTCTTTTGTTGTAGAAATAGGAATTAGGACAACCCAGATTTGATGCAATTTTGATTTTAGTGTGAGTGTTGAATAAGCCAATCTCAAGCAGCATTTGTAAATTGCCTATACGTAGTGAGATTTACAATTGTACATTTAAAAACACAAATAATATTTCCATTATTTTCTCTGCTAAGATCATTATCTGTTCATCGATTCGAACCAATTTATTTGGTCTGATTTCACAACATTTACAGCTTGCTGTACTTTGGCTGATGAAACTAATATCCAGGTTTGCATGTTTGTCCTATAGTAAAAGACGTCTTGACCAAAAGCCTGATGAGGATTTTGAAGTGGAAGATGATGATGATGAAGAAGAGAGAGATAGAGATATGGAATTTGCTTTGCCACATTTTTTTAAGAAAGGAAAGGGGAAGAGCAGCAAAAGACCTGGGCGAAAACCTCGGTGGTGTCCAAAAAGTCTAGACAATTTTGTTGACATCGTTGTTAGCAGCAATGAGTTTAAGAACAAACTGATTTTTACTAATACCAAGAATCAGAGAAATGGCCCAATTGTTGTCAAAATCTTGGATGAGTCGAAAGAGAGGGCATCAGCTAGAGGTGACAAGTTCACAATGTCAGTCAACCAAATGAGAACAAAATTCAAGAAGTGTGTCAGCCAGTGTAAACAAGCAGCTCCAACCCAAAAGACAGAAACAGGGATGAAAAGGTACCAAGGAGACCATGGGTTTGGCAAGTGGTTCAATACCTTGTTTGAAGTGGTGAAAACAAGGGACTCGTCCCAACCTGAATGTGCTTTAGAACCATCAACATCTTCATCATCACCTCCACGCACCCCTGGAAATTCTCTTTATGATCCTGACAAAGTTGATGATGAAGTTGAGATGTTTGTTCCCAAAAGGTCCCTGAAGAAAGGGAAATCTAATAAAGATAAACTTGATATCAACCAGGAAGTAATACAACTCATCCAAGAAGCTGTTAGAAATGACCCAACAAAAGAAATGATCAGCTTCTTAAAGGATGAAATGGAAAAGTCCCGTGTGCATACGAGTTAAAGTTATTTCAACTCATGCTTGGCAACAGAGCCAATTCATCCATGCCTCCATCATCCAGTATGGAAACAGGGTTTTACCCAGCATGGAATCAGGGTTCTGGGTATCATGACACAGGGTTTTACCCATCGACGCCAAGTTCTCAAGGAGCACAGCAGACCACTCAGGAAAGGATGTCTGAAGGTTCTTATGGGAACCCTTTCCTTTATAGTAATGGGAAATACCAAACATTGTAAGTCATGTAGAACTGAAAGCATATTCATATCTACTTCAACCACAGTCCTTTGGACAGTTATTACTTGCAAAGTTATTATTTGGCCAGTTATTATTTGCAAAATCACTGACATACCCAAATGGGAAAACACATCAGTGCAAAACAAAACCAGAAAGCCATAATTGAAAGCTCTTAACACTGGAAAATTGGGTTTTTTGGAAGAATAGGGTTTTCTGTTTCAAACTCTGATTTTCATCCATTTTTAAATGAAAATAGTTGAATGTGGATCGGAAATGTGCCAGGACAGCTGTTGAAAAGGACTCCCTAACATAGTGAAACAGTTCACTATTGCAACCTTATATGGACAACATGGATAGGAAATGTTTCAAGGCACGTGTCTTGACAAAATAGTTAATATATATGTTGTTGTTACAGTTTAGACAAGTGAATCATGAAAAACATAATAATATTGCTAAAAAGGAAAATTATATCTGATAAATTTTTTATATACAATTTAAACTTAAGATAGAAATGATCTGTTGAAGTATATATATGAATCCATAAACATAATTATTTGCACAATGTTTGTTACTACTACCAAAGTTCTGTTATTTTTGTTCCAGTGAAATTTCGTTGAGGAATGATATGCTCAAGGCTTCATAAGTTCTCATAGTTTCTAGCAGGCATAGAAAATCTTGCCGAAGCACTAATGATAAGCTATTAAAACAATACCACAACTTTTCCACACACACAAAAAACAACACTCATCCAAGAGTGCACACCTGAGCCGTTTCATTACATATGATTCTTGTGATCCATAGCGGTTGAAATTTCTGTGACCATCGTTTACCTGTTTATTAAATTGAAGGACAGTGCTCTGGAGAAAACATTTATCGATGTGGCTTAGTTTTTTTTCACGAGTAACAAGCAAAGGTGAAGTTTACATTATGATTCAAAACTGACTCCATACATGAAAATATATCAAATTTGTAGACGTTGAACACAAGCCTAAATTCAGAAAAAGTGGCCAATACAAATGAAATGTTTCTACCGAAACATTTCATAGTCAAGGGAAACAGAAAAATACATTAGGGGACTGCCTCATAACAAATCTAAACTTTACTTTGCCAGTGGTACTTGAAATGTTTAGGCTGGTACATAAACATAACCAGCTTAATGTAGTCAATTTCTAAATGAAATGGTCCTGTGTTCCAGTCTGCTAAAGTGAAGCCTAGTGTGCGTATCCTTGGAAAAGCCATCTGTTGATCCTGCAAGTAACCTGCATTGGTTAGGACAAACTTCGTGAATGGCACCTGGTAAGACATATATTAACTGCATTAGAAAATGTAGTACATTGTAGGACCATTGTTGGTAAAAACCGTTTTATCTCATGGTTGCAATCTTTCAAATTGCAGGAAAGAAAGACTAATGTTGTAACTATATTGCACTAGCTTCATGAGCCTTGAAAGATAAAGATCTTGTTCAATGACTTGTCCAGAGGGGGGGAGGGTCTAGGGAGTCCCCACCCCCTTAATCCCATCAGACCTGAAGGGAGTTTTGGTTTTTGTTTGAAACCCAAATATTTATTATTTGTTTGAAGTATTTAAAATCTAGTTATTTTGAAACATTTTGTGGCTTATTTAGGTTTAAGTAAGAGTGTCAGAAAGATCAGTACTTTCTGATTAAAAAATTCCAGGATCCATCCCTGTTATTTACAATCCATCACCTGTGTGTGTGGTTCTTGAAAGCAAGAGACTCAATTAACTCTGAAATCTGCAACCTTTCAGATGCAAATGCTCACTAGCGGTTGCAGATTTTCTTTAGTTGCCCTTCACTTCACTCTGGTATTAATAATTGACTGAGGAATCATTTTAAACTACAAAATAATATATCCTAGGTGCATTCTTAAACTTGAAAACACAGGTATGCTTGAAAAGTTTCCTAACAATAGGCAATCATTCAATGAGGTTGAGCATGACATCATGAATTTTAATGCCATGGTCTGAGTTATCTGCAGAAGCCAAAGGCTAAGGCAGATGATAACAATCAAAAAATTATATTGGGGCACTTGGAGTTACTTTTTCTACGAGTATGCCCAGGGCTTGACACTAACTTTTTAGCCAGGTGGCTAGTGACAACTTAGATGTTATGACAATTTTAGTTTGTTTACAAGCCAAACAGGCTCATGGCCAGAAATAGAAAACCGCTAACCAAAACTGAATTTTTACTAGACAGTGGCTAGTTGGTTACCATTTGTGTTGGGCCATGATGGCCTCCATTGAATAACATCTTCTTTCTTTTATCAACTTAGTTGATAAAATCAGATTATCAGGAAATACACCCCACTGGTACAGCTCCACTTTTTATTTAAAAACTTTCCCCCTTAGACACAATTTTTTCCCCCTAAAGTCCCACTGTTAGGCTCAATTACCAGCCACTGTTTGGGAACCAGAGCCCGCACTCCTACCAGAACCCACTCTTTTCGGGGGAAGGGACAAAAAAGACTGGACTCAAGAAAGGGGTGGAAATCAAGCCTATCCCACTGTTTGCTGTGTAAATCGTGTGTGTCTTTTTTTTAATTGTACCTTTACTGTCTCCCAAAGTGGTCCTCCTCTTGTATGAAAGAAAGACTGATGAATGTCATCATCTCTAATGCTTTGTGTCTGAACATTGAATGCATATGTTCTACCATCACCTCGCACTCTCATAACAATACCATCATAATCTGTTACGTCATTTGCAACAACATCACCTTTCCAATCCTGAAGAGTAATTAAATAACTCTGATTATTATATATTTTTCAAATATATTTTCTGTCTTTCCTAGAGACTACCTCCAAGATCTAAAAAAAACAATTGATTGGTTAATGTCCTGTTTAAAGGCAAGGAGGGTGCCCCTTGTGCTGGGGCTGTCCTGCTAAAAGGATCATTGAAACACTTATCGTTTTTGCATTGATATGAAAAAGGGTAATCACATAGCGGTAAGATAAGGGAGATATTGAAGTCTGTGTGACAGAAAGAGCTGACATTGAAGAAATATCCTATCAGGCCCTCTGCCATAGCTTGTCTTCTGTGGCNAATGTGTGATATTGTATGATAAAAATTTCTGATCCATATTTCCACAAGAATAAATTTCCACCCTGTGGCTGTTATCTTTGACCCTCTGATTTGCAAGATCTCATTAGATATTCTCCTTACTGTTTGCCATCCAATTCTTGTGATGTTACTTTAAAGAATTTTGTATTGGACCAACTAGTAATCCCCTGAATGATATTTTTTTTTCATCTCTTGTCTACTTGATGTTGAACTGATCTCGTAAGGAAAAATTCTGTCCTGGTCACTCATAGGAGTTACATGGTTAAGTCTACGTGGCCTGAAACTAACCCTGTGTGGCTGCGCTCTGATTGCACACATACCACTGTACTTGACACTCGTAGCTTGAGGTAGTTCAGTGGATAGATTTCCTTTAAACACAGCCTTTCCCCCTGGAGATCGTACAAATTCAGCTGCTGATTTACCACCAAATTGTTCATCTGTTATCAGTGTCCACTGTTCTAAAGATTCCTTATTGCTGAAGTCCCACAGAATCTCCTGGTACTTTAATCTCGACATTGGATCCGGAAAGAGGGTGTCTACAACTTTTTTAACGGCTGGCTTCCTTAAAAACCCTTGGACACCTTTTACGATGCCTTTTCCAGCCGCCATGATGTTTTTGTAGTGGTAACCAGACTTTACGCTGTGTCACTTTTCCGACGGAGACTGGCTTCGAGTGGGATGAAAAATGGCGGCTGTTTGCGGTACTTGCCAAACACTTCGCCTGACTTCAACCCTAGAAAGATGTTTTAGCTCCAAGTTCCTGCATTTTAAACAAAAATCTATTATACCCGCTGCCTACGTCTCCAATTTTAGTTTTTTCGGGCATCAACGTTCGTCTGAAGATCGCTACTCTGGAAGCTTCGTTTGGCAGCCCGGAAACTGTGTTCCAGAACACATCTCCACGTTTTGGAAGCTGAAAGGTTCAAGAACTTATAAATTCACTTCTTTTCATTTTCAAAGAGATGTGGAAGAACCTGGGAAGATAAAGCCAGTGTCTGGAAAAATTAAGGCGAGGCTGGAAAAGATTAAAGAAATGGTATGTCCTGATCCATATAACTAGATATAATTTGCTTCTTGTATCTTTGGTTATCTTTGTGTGAGGGGAGTGTGAGGGGAGGGGATGCAGCATCGGTCGAAAGGGTGGTGGGGAAGGTAATGACTATGGTGATAATCAGTATGAGATACTAAAAACTATTTTACAATAAGACATTTTAAAACTGAGGCGTAATCTTCCCCCAGTCCTAGGGATTGAATAGAATATGGACAAAATGTTCGACTCAGCTGCTTTTGCTTTGGTCTCTCTACTACCTATTAGGGTAAATGTCTGATGCCAAGTCTATCACATCCCTAAAGTCATCTCCAAAAATAGTTTTTCAGTCAGATCATGTATTAACAACGAATTTTAGTGCTCGGTGAGTTTTGTAAATGAGATCGATGCCGTTGCATATATTTTTAACGGTTTAAACTTTCATTATATTTATAGGATACTATTATTTAGTTAGGACTTTAATACTATCAGTATATTATACTCACTATTATAAGATATTATTTTATATATTATCCTACTATATTATATTTTATACTATACAGGGTTTTCCTTTTCGGCCGGCGACCGGCGATTTTCGCCGCCTGCGAACGGCTCCGTCGTCGGCGACTAAAAGAGTCCTTGCTGTTATATAATTTAAAATATTTGAGATTAATAATAAACACTTTGTATGTTGTCTGAC